TGGGGGGTTGGTGGGAGCGTATTATTCAGATGGTTAAGAAAATTCTGAGAAGAATATTAGGAAGAGCCTGCTTGAGATATGAGGAGCTGTTTACCATTCTCTGCGATACGGAAGCTGTAATCAACGCAAGACCGTTAAATTATTTGTCTGAAGATCCTGAAGATTTAATGCCTTTAACACCCTCTATCTTCATTCAGGATATAAGAACGGTGGGAGTTCCGGACTTAGACCATATAGATGAAGTCAATATCAATAAGAGATATAGATATCAGCAGAAATTACGACAAGATCTCAGAAAAAGATTTAGAGACGAATATTTGAGTCTCCTAATTCAGTCCAGAGATAATAAAGCTACTCGAAGACAAATATATTTGGGAGATGTGGTACTTGTGGGAAGTGAAAACAAAAAAAGATTGGACAGGCCATTGGGTCGAGTTATTGAGTCAAGATAATTGTGTTAGAGTGGCAAAGGTGAAAACAGCTGCAGGTGAATTGATCCGTCCTGTGCAACGACTGTATCCTTTGGAAGTGATGGACGACGAGAACTTGTTTTTACCTAAACAAAACCAATTTAACATTCCTGCTAGTAAAGAAATTAACTTTAAACCTCCTGATAAGATAATTAAAACTAGATGTGGTAGAACTATTGCAAAGCCTTCGCATTTTAATTAGTTTTTTTTTCTTTTATGATTATACTAAGTATTTAGTCTCGTTATTAAGTATATTGTATTTAGATTTATGTTCCGCCCACCATAAATCAAAAGGTGGGAAGAGATGTCGCGAGCAACTCAACGGTTGTACAAATGCAATTTCTTAAAAGATTAAGTTTTTACGGTTTGGCAACATCGTATCGTATTTTTTATTTATTTATTTTTTTTTAAATTTTTTTTTAATTTTTAGAATAAATGAAGTAAAAATGCACCATGACTTTGCATTAAGGTGGATTGCCTGTTTTAAGTGAATTAATTGGGTGGATTGTCCGTATTACTTAATTATAAGTTTCTTTTAATGGAGTACCGACTGAATGAAGAAAATTCAGATAGAGTCTCGTAACAGATATAATGAAAATACGCTACGCACAAAAATACATTTTAGGATAAAAAATGAGTTAATTTTTTATGTTTTAAAACTTCTTAAATTCATTTAATAAACATCGTATCCTCGTTGTTAATTGAATCCAGAATGTTCGGTGTCGTTTATATAATTATTCTTACTTGTCCACAGAACCTGCTGACTTATCCAGCCATTAAGTAGCTGCAGATCATTTCTACATAACCATTGAACTTCCATTAATTCAGTCTCTAGAGGGTTGTATGTTTATATCATAATCTGACTTTTATAAAAATGATTATTTTAAATCTTATGTTTCTATAAAAATATACTGTGCTTTAAAAATATGGATTACAGTATCAGCCGCTCTTTCAGCCACTTCATAAGCAACAGTCTGTTTAGAAATAAATTATGCAGTTAATGTCATAAAATTCAAATAAACATCAAACGAAAATTCTCAGTTTTAGACAATTCGATTTAAACGAAGTTAAAGTAAAGTAGCAGACGATAAAACGCCGATGGTAAAAATTTACTCTTATTTTTTTTTAAAAAAAAGGAAGAAAAAGAAAAATTTTAAAAAATAGTTAAAAATTTGAATAATATCATCTATAATTAAAAAAAATAGCTTTTCATATAGTAGTAATAAATATTTATTACGCATCATTGAGGGAAAAAATTTCATGTAATTAATTCTTTGTAAAATTTTACTTGAAATTCAAGGTTAAAAATAGCTGTGGCAATTCACTGTAACAAAAATCCATAAACCACATTTGGCGATATTATCGCTTCAAAAAAAAAAAAAAAAAAAAAAAAAAAAAAAAAAAAAAAAAAAAAGATGCCAAATTTCAAAACGCGAAAATATGTAAATTCGTGTATATCTTAGAAAATTTTGAATAAAAAAAGGCTAATTTTTTGCAGATATGCTTAAAACTACAACTACTTTAAGATGATGGTAAAAATTTTATAGGTTATAATTCAAATTTTTTTTCGAAAAATTTATAAAACTTATTTGAAAATAGAAATTTACAAAATAAAACACAAAAAAATCGGTAAATTTTATTTGGAATGAACCCAAATTTCGAAATGTGAAAGGAAAAACAATAAAAGTTTAATAAAAAAAGAGATATTAACAAATATTTACCAAATTCAATTAACATTGATGAGCTAATATTTTAAAAACTACTCGTACGATTTTTTACAAAACTTGGTATTCTGGCATAATTTGAGTTGTAGAATCGAAATATGGAAAAATATTGATATGCTATTTCAGAAAAAGTCTGATTTTGTGTCAAAATACCTATGTTAGAATAGTGCTATATCTAAATTTAATATATATCCTAAGTCGCGCTTTCGAGACATGAGAAACGCAGTTTGAATTTTGTCAATCGGCCCAGTAGAACAGGAGATATAGCACTGTCCCCCCCCCTTTTTTTTTTTTTTTTTTGAGCAGTGTACATACATATATGCATACATACATGAACACATACATCCCCATATACATATATACACCATATTTCTGGACCCGATGACAAAACAGTATTATCCTTTTCCATAAATTTACAGTGGGGGTACAGAAAATCAAAAAATATCAAGCACTTATTATCTTGTGATTCAGAATTAAATTTTATCAACTATTAGATAAACCTAATATATGCAAAAAGTATGCACATTTTTGTTTGATATTGTATATAAAGTCAAGTATAAAAATATGTGCTTTTGAAAACTGAAAATTATGTGTGCTGTTTTTGACAGCTGAAAATTCCAGCAACATTGCAAAGAAGAAGGTGAAATACAAGATTTTAAAATTCACAAGAAGGATATTTTTATTACAACACTTCATTAAATCCATGATAGGGGAAAAACTAAGTGTAAATGTTTTATTAAATTTTAAAAAAGTAAGCTTTGAAAATATGAGTGGACCTCTGCTTTCAATTAATAATAACACAGCTGCAACCATACGCTTCAAATTTAGTGCTTCAGATAAACTGGCAAATAACAAATGCAAATAGTCCAGGAGGTGTTTATCCTATCAAATAATCAGAAAATTCAAAAATTCATTGTACATCAATCACAGACAGAAACAACAAGAGCTAATGTAAAGTTAAAAATTTCAATGTCCATCATTACTAAAACCTTTTATAAGTTGTTGTTGTTTGATGCCGGCCTGACCCACCGGTGTGTCATACTTGTCTGTTCTGTGAGACGACATGACCCACCAGTGGATCATGCTTGATTGTTCTGTGGGCCGGCATGACTCACCGATTGGTCACGCTTGTATATAAAAAAATACGTAGTAAAAAATTTTATCTTATTTTAATTATTCAACAGTATAACATTACAAATGTTGTTGAATAATTAAAATAAGATAAAATTTTTTACTACATATTAACATTAACATTTCAACATCATAATCAAACATTCAATACAAAACAAATAACTTAAAATGTAGCTTATAAATTAAATATAATAATTATTATTTTCTAATAATATAATTATTAATATTTAATTACTAATATAATATATGCAACTTTTTAAAGCAGGCTACACAAAATGCCGGCTTGCCCTTACAATTATTGCAATTATGTTGCTACACTCTTTGCTCTATACACGGCCTTGTTTCAAAGCTCTATTCACTTCACGAAACAAACTGCTAATTCAAGCACCGCCACACAAAAAGAACAATGATTATCTGCACAGCCATCAACGTGTTAATCAGTTATGGAAAGCACAAATAAGCTGTCAACCTAAATGAAAAAATAGTCCATGATTGAGGAGTCTATCATATTAAATAATAAGTCAAAAATCTGTTGTGCATCAACCACAAATAGGAACAAGAAGAACTGATATTAATTCAAAAGTTTAAAGACCCATCATAACAAAAACCTTTTATATTACTGTTGTTTAATCAGTTATGGGAAAGCACAATTAAACTGTCCCCCTAAATGAAGAAATATCTTTAAAAATGGCTTTTTAAAACATTCATATGGAAAATCACAAAATGCCCATGCAGTCAGACTGTTCACCAGAACAAAATTTTGAAGCAAAGGAAGACTGTTTTAATATTTCAGTTGATAATACTCGGAATACTCACTTATGGACCCAAACTAGTAAAAATAAAGCAAAAATAATATAAAAGGGCAAAAAGCAAAAATATTTATAAAAGTTGTCCAAAGCCAGTATGTTACAAAAGAGTATGTTGAATTTATTAATATGAAACATCATTAAGTATAATTTCACTACACTAAAAACTCTACCATATAAGAGTCTCTCTGAAACTCTAGATGTTAGCCAATATTTATAACACAAGAAAATTATTCTTTGCTTGCTTCTTTTTCTGCAAGGATATAACCATACTTCAGATATTTTCAGCAGTAAGCCAATAACAAATGCAATAAATATAAATTATAAATAAAAAACTCAAGCAGTAACTAATAAGCAACTTAACAAAACGTTTTGAAATGTATGCACAGATCTCGGTTGCCTTTTGGCAGCATACTTTTTAGCAACATCGTGGTTGCCATTATAACTATTTTGATTACACACTGCATTGCCTCATGAATACTCTTTCATGAGTTTTCAGTATGGGTGCAGATAATAAAAAAATATCAAGCACTTATTATCTGGTGATTTTGAATCCAATTTTATCAGCTATTAGATAAACTTAACATATACAAAAGTATGTACACTTTTTTTCTTTTTCAATATTGCAAGATTAGTATGGTATCATTTATATATCAAAAATCAAAACTTACTCTTGAATTAAAAACAGGAAAATAAATTATAAAAAAAAACCCTCATAAAAAGGAATATATATATATATGTGGACACACACACATCCTATGAAATTGCATTTCAACACTTTTGCTCATGTATAATTAAGCATCGTACAAAGATAATCACAGAACTAACAAAACTATTCTCAAGAGAAACTGGATACCTCGAAAACCTACTTTTTGATCAGGTTCTTTTTCATCATCTAATTCATCCACCGCTTTCTCTTCGTCATCCATCGTTAATACTAAGCTGTGTGAATCTCTAATTTAAGCCTTGATATGGCAAACTATCAAAAAGTACTAATTTTAAAAAGAATATTTCAGCTACATAAATATAATTTACTATTAGCCTATGTTTTCATACTTATTTACAGCATACTTCTTACGGATTCATATTACTTCGCTCAAACTTAGAAATTATGCCGGGAATTACAAGTTTGAAACATTACGTACGCACTCCGTGGTACGTAAGAATTATATTATTAAATAAATGCCTGTTTATTTCGTTTCTATAGCGACGAGATAATTTTCCAAAGTTACGGTCAGTAATGCCATTCCTGCTGAAAGAAAAATATATTTAATAAGGACGTTGAAACTCTGAATACTTTGCCATAATCAAATAAACCAAACCGAACACTGAAAATACTATTTTACATTTAAATATAACTTTTATAAAAGATTGATATTAAAAGTTTTCATAATTTTCTTAAACATTTAAATGCGAAATATGAATATTTTCGTTCTATAAAAAATTAAGCTTCTTCAATTAATGTCTTTCATCTTAAAATAAAATGCAGACAAACAGAAAGTTCTTGGAGGTACAAAAATATGTAAGCTTAAGTAAGGTATCTGAATACAGCAAAGCGCACTAGGGCGATTTACCCGGGTAACAATGCCTTCGTGGGGGCTTTCTAAGGGAAACTGGCATGTATTCACGTTCAAAAACTCGAAAATAAAACACCAGCCCACCCGCTTGCAGTTATCCGAGCAGATTCTTGAAGAAATATGATGATGAATGTACAATTTAATAAGATGTAATATAAGATGACCAATGTATGATTTTAATGTACAATTTTCCTTCAAGTAATTTTATTTGATTGAGATTTTAAAGCTTGCACTTTTTCATATATTTTGTGTTTCATTTCTTTTCACTGTGGGTCGGGAAAGTACCTTAAACCACCATTTAAACGATTCCTTTTCGTCGTTCGAAAGTCGACTGCTAAATCTGAAGATGAACTGAAACGAATGAGGCAACGATGCGAACTTTCCTTAGCTGGTTCCCTCCATTGTATGCGAGATATGTAGAATGTTTTCCAAGCCATCTTTCAACAGCTGATATATTTTTTAACTGTAACGGAGATCAAAGTTTATATGACCATGGCCGCCTATAGAGTTGTGCGATGTTTATCAATTAACTTTTCAAGAACTTTGCATAAACTTCCGGTAAATTTCAAATGTATAACTTTAATGAGCGTTTAAATTAATTATTATTCATACACAATGCAGTATGTGACTGTTATCTAAAATTCATTGTATTATTCCGGAATGTTTATGAGATGGATTCGATTAAAATATAGATTTGATTAATTCAATGAAGCTGATTAATTCTTACTTAAGTTGATTAATTTTGAAATTGTGCTAAAGATTGGAGATGAGATTTGATTTTTATTATATTTAGAGTTTCAGTTTTGAAATATAATTGAGCTGTTGCTCATAATATTTGATATTAACAAAATTTATCACCTAGCACTGTAATATCTGCTAATAAACATAAAGCTATCGGTGATAGAAAAAGCATTCTATCGATGATTTTGGTAACTAAAATGTGAACATATTAAAATACTTATGCCAACAACACAACACAACAGGGTACTTTTCCATCAGCTGCCTCACCAAGATGCCAAAATGATTTGTCCAATAACTTTAGTTAAATTCAGAATTCTTAAAAATTGCATGGGCTAACCTTTATACTGATAACCACATTTAGCAATATTTTGAATTTGGAACCTAAACCTTCCTGAAATTAGTTTTGATTATGGGAGAGTACTAAATACACTTTTGCCAATAATTTTGCCCTTACGTGTACTGTAGGTGAAATTCAGTGTATGGAAAATATTTAATGCATTTGTGTTGGATCTTTAGATTTTATTGATGTTTCTGAATGATTTTCTTTAACTTCTTACTTAACTGGATTAAAAAAATGTTTCACAGTACAAAAATGTGTAATATTTTATTTTAGCTAAGCCAGCAAGCTTCTTGTTTCTGCTTTATTATAACTTCTGCTTTCATCAGCATCCACCAACATGCAAATTAGTTAACATAAGTTTTCAGAGTACTTGCAGCATATACTGGCGATCACTAAGTTTTTGTGTTGCTGTAGTTTAACTTGTCTGCACAAGTTTCTGCTAGCCGTGATTTCTTCACAAGTCCTTAGTTTGTAGGCTAGCTATGTTAATTTTGTAGGTACTTATGTTTAAGTACAACTACCATGGTGCAATTTGGCAGTCTTTTAAGAAATAAAGATGGTTTGATGAATTTTTGGATTACAATTTACAGTGGATATGGTTACCTAAAGAATTGTTATGCATATGTATTAATTTTTATCTTAATTGTTATGCATATGATTGCTAGAGTTTGGCAATTTCTACTAAGGTGGTTGCGATAATACTTAACACTAGAACGGCGGGAAAATCTTACCTTCTGGAATGGCGGTAAGGGGTCATTTTAACCCTTTGGTGAAAGTACTGAAATAACAATGGTAAAACAATTTTAAATGCCATACATTGACACAAATATGTACTTTATATGTATTTCATAATTTACATTTAATATCACATGATAATTTATTGACTTTTTAAAATACTGTAAATGTATCAAGTACATGGCTATGAATTGGATCGTACTACGTATTATATATATCATACTACATATTATATACATAATTCATTAATTTGATATCAGAATTGATTTCAAATAAATGGTTTCACAAATTAAAGCTAATGTTAACTAAAATAAAACACAATTTATATAATAATATTTTTTTATGTACTTACTGAGAGGATGATTCACTCTCTAAATCCAGAAATGAGAAATGTTCTCTGGTGTGTCAGTTATATCATTATATCTGTAGCTGAATGGAAAATGTAAAGCATTTCATTTCAATTCTATTTAATGTTTAAAATATTAAAGATTACACATACGTATTAAGAATTAATGCAGTTGATACAAAAGTAATTTTTAACAATTTTTCCAGTGCATTTTCCGCACACAACTTTGAAACAAGATGCACAATATTCTTGAGATTTGTTTCCATTGCATCTCTGTACTTGACACTTTTTTCTTTTTATATCCATTTTCTTTTCATGTGTTTTTTTCTGAAGACTCAGGAAGGATCTTTGGAAGTTTTGAAACCATACGTACCACTCTTAACTCCTCTAATTTCAGTAGAAAATCACTCTTGTTAATGGTGTTTCCTGTTATACTTTTATAAGTTATCCAGGTGTTCAAAGCTGCATGATCCAAAATATTGAAAAAGATATGTACAGGCCATTATCTAAAAGCCGATTTAATTGAATATTTTTGGCACATATGATCACGAATATCCACACCATACTTTGTTGCGTTGTAAAATGCTATTGAATCGGCAACTTCTTGAAACAGTCTTTAGTTTTTACAGTAGAATGTAATGAGCTCAGTAGAAAAACGCTTTTGTTTCTTTTGCCTTGATAGATGGTAAGTGTGATATTATCATGTTCCACTATTGTCGATGAATAAAGATTACTACGCATATTTTTCAAAGATATAGGAATTTCTCTTCTGTTCTTTTTCATTGTGCTGACCATAATTGTATTTTTTTATTTTAGCATTTCTGCTAATTTAATGCTAGTAAAATAGTTATCCTTGGTAATATTCCTCCCTTTGTTTAGATGTCGCTCCGTTAATTTTATGATAGCATTTTCAGACAAATGTAATTGAGGATTTGCTGTTTCATCTTTTCCTAGTTAAGGAAATCCATTCAAGAGGTATTTAGTATCAACATCGACAGATAACCAAAATTTTATTCCAAATTTGTCAGGTTTATTAGGCATATGTTGTGTAAATCTACATTTAGCTTTAGATGGGAATAATTCTTCATCAACTGTAATACAGTCAAAAGTTGTTAATCCGGACACGTCAGGACTTCGGCGATTCCGGATTATAAATTTTTACGGATTATAGATCATCAGTTTAAATCTGGTAAGATGGCATGCAGAAATTCTAAAATTAAAAATATGAAACCGTAATGTATGAAATAAAAAACAATTGTGATCTAAAGGGTATCAAATTTTACAAAAAAGAAAGCTTAATATTTATTTGTTTACTTTATTAAACATTTCTTTCAATGTAAGTTGTTTAAGTTGTTACTTTTTTTATGTGATAATACTTTCTCTTTAATTCTATAAACAGACATAATTTCTTGTTCAGTTTACAAGGTTCCACTGTTCAAGTCCCGCAATTGCTGTGCCGAGAATACCGACTAACTTGTCAATCGAAATTTTTTCATTTTCACTAACCTCTTTGTCACCTTCTTCAAGTCTATACATTTTTTGCAGCAATTCCACTTTTTGTTTGATGGACATCGAAACATACTTTCGTTTTGTAGATCCTTTGGGAGCTCCAGCATCGGAAATTCTATTTGACATAATCGAAAGTTCAAGTATACTTTTATAAAATTGCGCTTACAGTCTGCAAAAAATAATAAGCCGGATCCAATTCGAAGATTAAGGAACAAAGCAATCATCGACATTAACTGAAATAGATAATTAGATAATTTTAGCTTATACTGTCCGTTATACATAAAAAGCACACGCGAAAACGTATTCTGCGCTTGTGCACGTGCATATGCGCAGTCGTAAAGGTCTTACGCGCACGCGTAAACGCATATGCGCATGTGTCAACGCGGCGCATGCGCAGAAAATTTTTAGCTTTGAGGTCCGATTATGTGTGTCCGAATTAACGACTTTTAACTGTACAGTCAAAAGTCGTTATTCCGGACTCGTCGGGACTTCAGCGGTTCCGGATTATAGATCATCAGTTTAAATCTGGTAAGATGGCATGCAGAAATTACAAAATTAAAAATATGAAAGCATAATTTATGAAATAAAGAACAATTATGATCTAAAGGGTATCAAAATTTACGAAAAGAAAAAGCTTAATATTTATTCGTTTACTTTATTAAACATTTCTTTCAATGTAAGTTGTTTAAGTTCCTTTGTTTCATGTGATAATACTTTCTCTTTAATTCTATTAAACAGACATAATTTCTTGTTTAGTTACAAAGTTCCGCTGTTCAAGTCCTATAATTGCTGTGTCAAGAATACCGACTAATTTGTCAATCAAAATTTTTTCATTTTCAATAACCTCTGGGTCACTTTCTTCACTATCGGAAGCGAATTATAATGACGAGGAACTTGATTTGAATCATATCAAGGACGGTACACATCGAGATGAAATACTTCATTTAGTAAGGAATTATAAGCCCAAATAAAATAAAAACATCTGCCCTAAAGATAAAGATGGTGCTGATAGATCAACTTCCAATTCATTGCGCGCCACGGCATTTCCCCCCTACCCCGCCGCAGAGCAGCGTGAAATTGATAAACAGATTTCGGTTGATCTTTACATTATGGTAACTTGGCGATTTTTTGGCAAAAATTTGGCAACCAACTCTCCTACAGCAACCCTCTATTTTTTTTTCCCGCCGCCATTTTGTCTACACGAAGTAAAGACATGTTTCTTTTCTTTTTATCTACTGAACACTTCTTCCAACAATCTACTAGCCGAATTACACTTATGCTAGAAATTTGATCAAACAAAACTGCTTAATCTTGACAAATATTCACTGCAAAATTGGGAAAAAGTGCACAATACCATACTCCTTACGCGTTTTTCAAAATAACACATACACATAAACCATGTAACACCGACTTATTTTTACTTATGTACACGCAGACTTATTTTTACTTAAAAAAACATCCCAGAATTGCACAAAAATGGCATTGCGCACACTCTTCACTATATCCATGTACACTGCTTTTTTCTCATAAATTAGAAAAATTTCACGAAAATACATGACAATTTTCTCAATCTTTAAACCCGGTAAAAAGAACATATATGAAATTACCTGATCGCGAAAAAGTATTTACCCTTTCCAAATATGAACATTTCCACATATAAAATAAATAAAATATCCAAAAACTTTTACCTCTAAATCATCTATTATATTATAAACGTCACCAACGAATTCATACCGCAACCATTACAAATACTTAGTGTCAGATATTTAAATTATTTCCATGCACGTTTACTTCAACTAAAACGTATACCAAATTCCTACAAACATAAAATTCACAAAATAACTATCATTTCATTAAAATATAATTAAATTCAAAAAACACTACTTA